CTTTCGCTTTTCTCCCCCGGCCCCGCGCCGCCCGCCGCAGCGCGGGAGGGCGCGGGGCAGCGCGGAGCCGAGCGGGGCAGCGGCGGGGGGACCCGCGCCCACGGGCGGGCGGGCGGGAGGGCGGCGGGGCTGCGGCCGCCGCGGGGAGGGCGAGAGGGGCTCGCAGCCCCCGCAGCCCCCGGCCCGGCTCCGCAACCCCGGCCCCGCCGCCGCCGGCGCGCGGAAGAAGGGAGAGAAAGGACCTACTTTTGGGCAGTTTTCTCGCCCTCGCCTTGGATCTCATCGTGTCGGCGTGTGGATTCTTCTCCTCCTCCTTGAGCCCAGAAGCAGCTACACACTATCTTCATCTCCCCAGCATTGTCAGTTTGGACACCTTCGCACATGCGCACAGAGCATTCAATCTGACACCCTCACCAGGGCCAAAAAAACTTTCCAATGTATTCATCATCATCAGCCTGGTTTGGGCTTTTTTTTTTTTTTGCCTTTTTTTTTTTTTTTCCTGTCCTATCCTCTTCCTCAGACCACTTATCTCTGCCCCCTCCTCTCTCCCAGCACCCATCACAGCCTTCCCCTGATCTGCCCCTTTAAGAAAAATCAGCCCTCTCCGCTCCTCACCCTCCGCACACTGACCTTACACACTGGACAATATTTAAGGATCAAGGTGCCATCCTATAAAGAGGTGATTATCATTATATTATTATTATTACTACTCTTATTACTACTACTGAATAGCAATGCTGAAGAGAGTTTAACAGATGTCATCTTGCAATCGTAGTTTAGACATGCTTTTGTTTTTAGTCTGAAAAATATTTTTTTACGTAACTTTTCAACCAGCGTCTGTCTTTATTTTCTTCCCCCCCCCCTTTTTTTTTTAAACCCTCTTCTCCTTTCTTGCCCCCTTTGGCTCGGGGGGATTTCGCGTAACTTTAAGAATAATAACTTTTAAAATAACAGAATTTGCGCTGTTGTGTTTTGTCGGTATTTCTCGTGTTTCTACCAGAATGTTTCGGCGCTCGGCGGCTTCGCCCCTTCTCCCCCGCTCGGGTTGTCGGTGTTTGCGGGTGTTTCGACCCGGGCCGCGGCCCCCACGTCGGGAGGGCCCCGGGCCCCGCACCCCGTCGGGAGGGGACGGGGAGGGAAGGGCGGCCGCTCCCCTCCGCCTTCCAGGTGGAAGGAAAGCAGCGCGCCGGGGCAGCGCTCCCCAGGGACGGGGGAAGCCGGGAGACACCCGAGGAAAGGGGGGAGAGGAAGGACAGACACCCCCGGAGCGTCGGGGAGCCCCGCGGGACCTGCCCACACCCCCCCGGAGCGGAGGTAGCGAGAGCCCGGGCAGAGCCGCTTTGAAGAGAGGAGCGAAGTGTAAATAGCCGGTGATTGATGTGCTGGCTTTGACTGCGGAGAAAGCACTATTTTAATTCAAGTGGCCAGGTCAGATGGTCACGGAAGAAGGTTGAAAGGTAGGATTTAATGAGATTAATATGGAGAGAGGGAGAAACGCGCGCCTTCCTAAACATTCCATAAAATATTGGGGGTGAGGGGAGCGCGGCGTCCCCGCTGGAGGCGCGGACACATCCCGGGGAGCCCCGGGGAGCCCTGGCACCGAAGGGCACCGCAAAAACAAAGCAAAACTTGTGCGGGTGCGTCAGGTCCCTGCTGGAAGCCATTCCGCCAGCTGCACTCCTGCCCTGCAGGTGGAACTGGGGAGGGGGGAATATTCCTGCTAATTACCGGTTTTCCCCTCCTCAATAAACTCTTTAATTGCAAATAGGAGCGGGGGCCTTTCAGATGCTACCGAGGAGCCGCGTTCGAGGGCAGGGTGGGGGAGCAGGAGGCCAAATAAAATAAATCCGTTTGAAGGGAACTTGGAGCCACGTGTCGCCTAAAATGCCGAAGCGGTGCCTGTGAATTCCTGCCTCGAGGACGCCGTTCCACGGCGCGGCGGGCACCTCGAGGTTGGAAAAACAAGCTCTTCCCAGCCTCACCGGTGAAACAGGAGCTCGAATGTTTCCAGCTCATTGAAATATTTCTTCCAGCGCTCCTGGACGCGCTCGCTGTCCCCGCGTCCCCCACCGAGCTGCTCCTGGGACGGACGGATTTCAGTTTGAAAACGTCGTCCCGGGTTATTTGTCCCTGTTATTACAGCGGTCTTCTGGCAGAAGACCGAGTGAAGCCGGGAGACCCACGGCTGGAGAGGGGAGAATGTCCCGGTCGCCGCGTCCCCCTCCCCGGGCCGGGGGACGAAGGGCACGGAGGGCCCGCAGCACCGGGCCGGGACCGCGGCCGTGCCCCCCCCGCAGCCCCGGCCCGGCACAACCCCTGCTTTTGTTTTCTTGCCAAACCCTCCTGCATCCCCAACATTCCGATTCCCCCGGGAATCAGCTCCTGCGGTAAATAGCCAAGCTCAAGCTCCAGCGGACCCGCTCGCAGACATTTAGGGAGACGCAAAACGCTTTCGGGGGCGCACGAGGGATGTGGGGGGGGGTTCGACCGTGTTTTTGGTGATGCTTCTGCCAACGAAGCCGCCGAGAAGCGGCCCCGCCGGGTCTGTCCGAGCCGCTGCGGCCGTTCCTGCCCGGCTGGAGCGGGGCTCCCGCGGCCACCGAGCGGGGCCGGGCTGAGCGGCGCTTCGCCGGGCCGGGAAAGGGGGAAAACGGAGGAGGGGAAAACGCCCTAAAATAAAAATGCGTGGGGAAAAAAAGCGGAAAAAAAATAGAGAACGAATTCTGAAGGGCCGGTGCCGGGGTGTGCCGGCGGTGGGCTGCGGGGCGTGGGGGAGAGGACACGCTGCCACCCCCCACACGAGTGGGGTCCCTTCCCGCACCAGGCACAGGCGGGTGACTGCGGTGCAGCCCCCGGGAACGGGCCCCGTTTCCCCTGCTCGCTTTGAGCCAAAACAGCTCGAGAGGCTGCAGGGCCGGCGGCGAGGGCAGGGGCCGGGGTGCTCCGGGGACGGCGTGTCCTCAGGACACGCTCCTGTTCCCACCGAGGGTTGTTCCTCGCTGCATCCCGGCACCGAGACCTCCATGGAAGGAGAGGGGTTCCTGGGGTTCAGCAAACCCCCGGAGCGAGGTGTGCGGCCCGGGCAGGGAGAGCCTCGGAGCCCCCCGGAATCCCCGAAGCCCCCCCCTGTCCCGCCGGGTGAGCATCCCGCGGGGCCACCGGCTTTTCCAGCCTGCACCTGTTTGAGTGCGTGTCGCTTCCACGGGGAACAGCAAACTAATTAGCGTGGAGGGAGGGAGGGAGAAGCGCCAGGAAGCTTCTCGGCTCTCCCGGGTCAGGCCGGGTGGCTGCCAAGGAGCCGGGGCCCTGCCCGGCCTGGAGACACGCGTGCTCCACCACCTCCCCAGGAGCTCTGCCCACGGCGGGCCTGGGGCACCCCGGGGGTGGCTGAAGGGAAAAACGATTCCCTCGGAGGTGGCCGAATTTCCACCGAGCCTTAATAACTGTCTCTTCCAGGGAAAGCAGCAGCCATGTCCCTCTGCACCACACGCGTGGCAGGGGACAGGGACCCGCAGTGCCCCAAGGGCGGCACGGCCCGGGGTGAGGATGGGGGGTCTGGGGGCACAAACGAGCGAGCGGTACAGAAACGTGCCTGTTCAGTTTATCCCCTCCGCCCTCGCCCCCTCTTTGTGCCTCCATCCCGCTCCTCTCCCCGCTAATGGACATTTCAGCCCGCGGCCCCCGCAGCACGGGGGAGTCCCCGCAGCTTTGGGGAGGGGGCGTTGGAACGGCGGGAATTTATGGGTGGGTTCCCTGGCATCACCACTACAAGCCATGTGTTCCCAGGTGCTTTAGAAGGCTGGCTTGGAACACACTCTCCAGGTGAAGCGCTGCGTGGCAGCCGCCAGGCTCGGCTCCCTTCGGGGCCCTCCCGGGAGCGCCGGGCTCGGGTGGGCACCCACGGGCAGCGGGGGGGCAGGGGAGAGGGGAAAGGCGCTTTGCGAGCTGTTTCGCACAAGTGTTTTTTAAGCAGTAAAGAAGATTAGAATGGTTGCGCTAGTCCGGCTTGTCCGGGAGCTGCCGCACACCCCGAGTAACCCCTTCCCAAGGATTTTCGCATAAATCACTCTTTGTTCCCGCGCGCGGCTGCGGCGGGATTAAACCAAGAATTAATATTTTCAACTACGCAAGAGCCCGGTGGCAACAGGACGGGGCTGCGCTCCGCGGGGTCAGCGAGCCCCGCGCAGATCAGGCGGTAAGAATGTCACACGCTTCCCGAGGGATTTTTCCCTCCTAATCCGCCCTTAACGAGCGGAGGAAGCGCACCCACGGGGGGACGAGGGGCTGCCTCGCACCCACGCCATGGAGCAGCGTGCCGCTCCCCCCCCCGCCGCCAGGGAATTCCGACACCTTTGGGACGCGGTCCCTGCGTGGAGCCGGCGCAAGGGGGCGGTTCAGGACAGGCGGGAGCCCCGGGGGGAGCCCCCGCCGAGCATCCTCCGCCCCGGGGCCGCCGCCGGGGACACTTGGTTTGTGTTCCCAGCAGCGGCTCTGCTGGAGGCCGGGGTGAGGCGAAAAAAACATAAAAATAACAAAATTAAAACTCTCCAAGGGTGGCTGCGGCCCCCCCGCGCTGAGGGTCCCCCCGTTCCCCGGTTCACACCCGCTCCACACGCAGGTGGAGGGTGACCGAGGCTCAGTGCCCGAGTCGCATCCTCCACCCGCCAGACCCCGGCAGGTCCTTTCCTGAACTGACCTATTTACACACTCATTGGTTTAAATCAGTATTTTACCCGAAAACCTTTGAGAAGCGCCGGAACAAGCACCACCGAGAAAGACAGAAATGGCTGCATTTTGTTTAGGGGGGGAGAAGAAATTAAATCACTCTCACTGGTCCTCTTAGCGATGAAATACAGAGGGGAAAGGTTAATATCGCTGCAGAACCTGTGCCTGCACGTCACTGTCCTGTACCTCACTGCTCTGATATTCCACTGTACCGAAACCCGTCTGTGCATCAAAATGAGGTTATGAGACTATTTTTTTTGTCTTATTTCTAGAAGAAATCGCTGGCTCCTCTGGCCATGAAAAAACACCGTGTAAATTGTCATTTCAGATTTTTCAAAAAACATGTTCAGCTCTAAGAATTCTTCCGAATTCGTTACACTCCTCCGCGCGAGGCTGCGCCTTGATGGCCCCGGCGAAGGTAAAAATGCACGTCGTAAAATAAGTCTTAAAAAAAAGAAAAGCACCATTTACATTTGAATATCTAACTTGAACAGGATTATAATTACAATTGTCAGAGATCGAGCAATGTTGTCTGCAAAACTGCAGCCCATGAACAGACAGTTTCGGGGATGTAAACACAGCAGTTTTAATCGTGACGGTCTCTGGGAATGAAGGGAAATTAAGGAGTTATAGCAATTTTTTTAGACGTTTGATCAAAATATTTTTGCCCGGAGATCGCTTGCCAAATGAAAGCAAAATGGAAACGATGGGCGCTGTAATTCGGCAGAGTTTTGTCATGGAAAGAGCTCAAGTCCCCGGTCTCTCAGGGCAGGGGGTTCTCCTTCACCCGGGGCTTTGGGGAAGGTTCTCTGCCTGCGGGAGGGGACCCTGGGAAACAAATATTGGGGAAGTAAATTTCGATCGAGCGTTTTTCAGCCGAAATACCGTATACCGAGGGCACTAAAACGATCTATGTCCGCCTTTTCCCTCGGAATTAACAGAACTCCCCTAATTTAAAGCTTTCAGCGAGCTGCAGCACCCGGCGGGGTTGGGGGACATTAATCCTCTTGCGGCACCGGCACAGGGGCTCCCTTGGCCGGGGGGACCCCCCGCTCCTCCCGGGCCAGCCCGGAGCCAGGCCCGCTGTACATTACTGGCTGTAATTAAGTGTTATAGGGGGGTGAGCGAACCGCAGCCCCCCCCCCAATGCCATTTGCTGTCCTGCCAGAGATCGGATCGAAACCCTCCCCGCGAACACCGCCCGCTCTGGGGGTGACTCCCCTCCCCGGGGGATCCCCCAGGAGATGCCCCCTCGCCCCCCTCTGCCTGGGATCGGTCCCCGAAGCACAGCGCGATGCTGCCCTAACCCGACGGGGGGGACACTCGAGGCGGTCTCGCTTCTTCTCCGCCTTCCCCGGGCACCGCCGGACTGGGGTGCGGAGCCCCCGCCGCGGAGGGTGCGGGGCCAGGGGTGCGGAGCCCCCGCGGGTTACGCGCCGGCTTTGTTTGCCCTTCCCTCGCTAAGGACGGCTGGGGCGGAGCTGCCCGGATAATTATTAGCTATTAATTGAGTTCAAGACCTTTTATGGCGATGGGAAATGAGGAGCCCGACCACTAATCCCGAGGAGGGGCTGCGCGCAGCCAAGAGCCGCGAACGCGCCGTCCAGGGCTGGCCCGACACAATGTCCCGGGGGCGGGGGGAGAGGAACGAAAAAAAAATTCATTAGGTGAAAATTACAGCAACTTTAAACGGAGGGATTTATTTAGGAGACACCTTTGGGAGCTGCCGCCGAGAGCGGGGGGAGAGGGGCGAGAGCCCCCGGCGGTGCCCGACGGGGCGGATCCAGGGCTGCCCCGGGCAAGGTGAGGAGCGGCGGCCCGGCCTCCCCCCGGGCCCCCAGGGAGCAGCGGGGCTGCTCTTACCAATTCCGTTTCCTTATCTTTACACGCTTCCACCTTCCAATTAAACTTCCCCAAATTGCCAAAAGCCTGATTTGCATGCAAGGGACCCCGCTCAAAGATGCTAACTTATTGTCTCCTCCCAGAACTTAACATTTCTCTCTTCAGTTCCCACTTGAAAGAAGTTTTAGAACAGTATTCAAAGACTGTCCAAACGAACAAAACCTTCCCCTTCGCTCGGGAGAGAAATCCGGTGTATTCAATACGAGGGCATATTCTCAAAAGTTTGCAGATTTGGGTTTAAAGGCGGTATTGTTCGTGCCTTTTTCCTGAAACTTCTTTATTTTTTTCCCCCTCAGCGCGCGGCTCACATGCCTGCAAAGGATTATTAAAATAAAACATCATAGAGCATTTTTTCCTTTTTTTTTTCTACTGTTTAGAATTACTTTTCTGGAAGAGCTTTCCAAGCATCTCCCCCACCCTGCAAGTCATAATTAAGAACACTTTTTTCTAACAAACAGGAAAAGTAAAGAATCAAACCGTTCCCCGAATACGCCTTTTTTCTTTAAACACTAACAGAGTTCTAAAGTCGGAAATATTTATCTGTTCCAAATACACCTGAAAAAAAACCCTCTCGGTGCTGGATAAACGCTGCTCTTCTGCAGCAGAAGGAATTAAAACGGCGAGATTTTGATACCAGGAAGATCTCTGGAGCATAAATAAAGTAAACGCGAACCTCAATTCTAACTGGGTTTGCAAAACCTGTTTACAAGGCGACATGGTATCTGCCTTCAAACACCCCCTTGCACACACGCGCCCCCGCAGTTGTCTTTTTAGGATTAAAAGAAGATGATCCAATGGGCTAAGGATGTAAAAGTCCTTTCGGGAACGCGATAAACTGCAAAAAGCCAGTGGCAACTCATTTCTGATTAACTCCTTTTTACAAAGGGGCGGAATGGAAGCGAACAGGGACCCGACGGGACGCGGACATATTTTATTCATTTAATACAAAGCAGCTTTAAAAAAAAAAAAAATCTTTAAAAAGGCAGTTCAGAGCATAACTCACGGGCCGGGGGGGGAAGGCAAAAACCTGATGGGGTGTGAGGTGATGTCGCCGTCATCCCTCGCTCCCGGGAGAGCGGGCAGCGCTCCGGGCAGCGGGAGGGACGCGCTCCCCGGGCTGCGGCCGCACCGCCGGGGCTGGGGGGGGGGGGACACAGCCCGGGACCCCCAACCCACCCCAGGGAGGGCAGCCCCTTTGCTGGGGACCCCCCCAGCAGGACCCCGGCTCTCCCCGCTCCCCTTAAAGGCGGAATCAGTGAAATCATGTAAGTGCCCGGAGCACAAAGAGCTCCTGTCCTCGGCTCTGCAGATCATAACCAGAGATGGGAAAGTATTTACAGCACCCTCCGAGTGACTGGGCCATCGCTACCAAAAAAATAATATTTTTAACCACAGGGAACCAAGAGTTCACGTAGATTTACAAATTAATGAGGACTTACTGGGGAAAGTAACTGCAAGAACATGTGTTAAAACGCAACAGAAAGAATTCCATCGATTTCCATGAGAGGTGGACTGCATCCAGGAAGAATGAGTCAACTTCATTCCTTGGGTAAAACTCACGAACTGAAGAGAATTACTCCAGGCATGCATTTGGATCACCCCGTGTCCCCCCATTTCATGTACTGCTGTCCCACTAACTACCTCTTAAATGTTGTCATGGGTTAGAATGGGGTGGGGATTCCTTTAAAGAATGCTTTTAATCACCGGAAATTGATGTTTGAACAAATATGCTTCCCCCCAATATCACATCAGTCACAAGTGACTGTTCAGCCAAAAAGGCTCTCACAAGACAACACAATTCAGAGCAGGACAGCTCAGGGCACCAGGAGGAACAGAGTCTTTCACACATCACAGGGACTCACTCCTGTGTTCTGGCTGTTTGTCCTGCTGCTAAATCTCGTTTCTCCTCTCCCCACAATTTGAGTGTTAAACTGCACAAGGTTTTGGTTCGTTTCCGTGGAGGAGGCGAAAACTCTTGAAGCCACTGAAAAGTTTCCTCCCCAGCTCCATTCCCCTGCTGCAGGGAGATGCTGTTCCCCTCAGGGGAACGAGCAGCACCTTTAACTGAGAGAGAAACCCTTCTCCAGTCACACAAGCACATTCCCTGTGTTTTATTTTACAGATGGAAGAACAAACTACTCATTAATTTACGAGATTTGGGTTGAAACCTCAGAACACTGAGATGGGAGCAATGAGAAGACAAACACTGACACACTGCCTGAGTTTTGCTCTTTGCCTTCAGAAGCCCCAAGTTTCACACAGACCCTCCCATAACTCCTATTAACACACAGTGGGCACGTCAAACATTTAGCAACAAGGTCATCAGGCTTCTCAGCCTTACTGGTGGTTTTTTAGCCCACAAATTTCCTACATGAGAGCTCGTGGCGGTCCCACAGGTTTGTTGTTGAAAATAAGTGAGGTGCAGTTCGTGATATGATAATCAAAGAACAGTTAAAAACCAAGCTCCAAAGACATGGTTAGAAAATTAAATGCAAATATATACAAAATAGTCAATGGTCTCTATGAACATAAATGTCTGTCTACCTCATGACTGCTATTTTCCAGCCAGCTTTCCAACCAGTGCAGTCTCTGCACTTCTCTATCTACAATTGTGCCATTTATAAGCCAGGAGCCCACCTCGCCCATGTGCCTGTTCCTACAGTGACTCATGTTCCATGGGGTTTATTCCTGTGAAGACTTGTGCTGAACCAGAGGAAAGAGCAGAACCTTTGGGGAAGGAATGGCACAGTTTGGAAAGCATCAGACACACTCACTGCTCCCTGTCAGAAAAAGAAAGCTCTGCTTTACATCTCGTGAGAAAATGGCCTTAAAAATAAAAATATTACTTTGATAGCTGGGTCAAAAGTCTTGCTGAACAACACTGGCACAGGCTGCCCAGAGAAGCTGTGCCTGCCCCACCCCTGGAAGTGTCCAAGGCCTGGTTGGACAGGGCTTGGAGCAACCTGGGCTAGTGGAAGGTGGCCCTGCCCATGGTAGGATGAGCTTTAAGGTCCTTCCCAACCCAGACCATTCTGTGATTCCATGCTAATAGAGGGAAATAAAATTTTTTTAAAAAATTATGAAGTGTTTTATACAAAAGCAGCACAAAGAGCTGCAAACTTGAGTCCATTTAACAGGAAGGGACATGTTATTTTTTCAGGCCTTCCCCTCAGAATCGTGTCCCACTCATTTACTGTGCTCAAGGTGCCCACTCACTGCTGGAAGAGCAGCTTCCAGACTCACTGGAGAAAGAATAGGGGAGCAAAGTGTACTACAGGTACAAGGAGGTTTCTCACATCTTCAGAGCCACAACAAAGCTGTGCAGGATGATTGGACAGAGCTCCTGCTCTGAGAACAAGTCACTTCTGAATTTGCCAAACAACAGGGAAGAGCAGAGAGCTCAGGCACCTCACACCAACCCAGCCCAGCAGATGCTCTGGCTGTGAGCCCTGGGCTCACACAGGGTGTTCTCAGACACACACACTGCCCCAGCTCCAAAAACCCCTGGGTGACTCTCAACAGCACCCTCAGAGCACAGCAGCACTGGTTCCTGATAGACACCTCCCCGTGGTTTCACCCCAGATCCTCTCAGTGCCCTCAAACAGATACAGCAGGATTGCTCCACTGCCACTCAGCTGCAGTTTTGCTCCTTCAGTATAAATGAGACGGGGAAATAGTTTCATTTCTCTGAAGTATAAAGTTAAATAGAGTGAACTGAGAAGTTTCTTGAAAAATAATGGGGTGAGATCATCCATACAATGATTTAAATATGTTAAGGAAAGCCCTGTCTGATCATCCAGGAGCTGCTCTGGCAGCCACACTCCCACCACCAGAGACTTTCCCTGCTGGGGCTGAAGCCCTTCCCAGCAGAAATCAAGAGCTGTGTTGTCAGTGGTGTCATTCACCAGGACACTGCTGGTTCCCCCCACCCTTAAACACACACCACTCACACTAAACTGTTCATTTGCTTATCACTCAGGTTGCTGGAAAGTCAAAGTTCTGACAGTCTCACCAGACATTTTCTCACTGTTCATACATGCTGATATCACACGAGGAAATTCTGGATTCTTCTGTATAAATAATAAATTTATCATACCCACGGTATATATCTGGAAAACGCTCAGACACCCTTGGTCATATAAACTGTCCCAAGCTCACAGAAGTAAGAGATGATCTATTAAAGAATAACCAAAACCCAGGACACGTCATCCAAGAACAGAATCACAACTCACAAAGTTATTCAAGGGGTAAACCCAATATTTTTGTCACTCAAGTGGCTGCATTTTGTCAAGAAAAAAAATCTCAATAAAAGAATTTTATTCTGGTAGGATGAGAAAAATGCTAAACATGTTTTTATGGGAGAAACAGAGATAGAGCACTGGCTTGAAAACTGAAAATCTCTCATGCCCTGATCTATAAATAAAACTCGTTGGGTTTTTCTTTTGTACTAAATTTAAAGGAAAGCCTTTTCCATGGAGAGTTTTCTTTAAAGCAGACTGTGCCCCAAAAGGACTTTAACGATGGTGTTTCCAGCAAGCAGCATGAATGAATTAAACAATAAATGCAGGCAGGAGCAGCTGTGTGTTCCTTTACCAGAAGCAGATGGATGTGCAGCTCAAACACGGCTGGGTTCTCACAAGAGGACGGTTCCAGACACTTCTCACCCACAAAAAAACCACAGTTTTCCTTCCCCCTCTGCTCCAGGGCCTTGGCTCAGGTGCCAATTGCCCTCCAGCATCACGAAGAGCTCCAAGGTTGGCACCAGTGACCATCAGGCAGAAATCCCACGTTTTGTTACACACAAAACATCCAATTATTGATCTCTTCTACCCGTTATCCACAGGCTACAGGGGAAGAGGTGAGGAGAGACACTCAGCCCTCCTTGGCAGCCTCAGGTCAGCTCCATCCTCAGCACAGAGCAGCCAGAGCCTCACTGCCTGTCCTCACACAACTCCTGCCCTTCACAGATAAACCTCAAGGTCTTCTGGAATTACTCAGTCTGGAAAACCCAGGGTCTCTCCCCTCCTCACAAAAATCTCACAGCCACCTCCCCGGAGCCAGAAGTTTCGAACCAACCAGCTCTGAGGGACACCAACACTGTCTCCTGCAACTCATCTGCCACAATGTGAAATCCTAGGATGCTCTGGCACTACAGCAGAGCCCCGTGTCCTGTCCAACACCAACCTTTGCTCACCAGCCTCGCAACAGCCACCGGCTTTTGTCATCTGGCATTTCACACAGACACTGCCACCTTCATTGCCTGACCAAACTCTGACCCAGAACTGCTGAAAATGCACCATTTCACACCCAAAACAACAGCATTTCAGCCAGAGCAGAGGACAGTAATTCAGCTTTCCCAAATCACTTTCTACATTAGTTCCACTTGCTACCACTTTCATTTTGCTCTCAGCCTCGAACCTTTCCATCCTTTACCTTTTATAGGAAAGAAATAAATTTTCTCCTACCTGTTGTTTTCTTCTTCCTCTGCAGAGAGGAGGTTTCTGCTGGCACAGGGGAGTTGGGCACCCACGCCAACAACATCAGGACCCAGCAGACCTGTAAGAAACACTGAAGTTGAAGCAAACAGCTCATCCCCTTGCAGCTTCCCCCAGTCCCACCCCAGCCTGTGCTGGCAAGGCAGGTCCTCCAAAACTCAGGAGTTTTAACAGAGTAAGAAACCCCACAAACATTGCAAAGGTTCCTGCTGGAACCACCTGGGCCTTTGCTGGGGGCAGGTTTTGCAGCCCAGGGTTGGTGGTGCAGGACAGACACCGAGCAGGAGCACGGATTGCTCTGGATTTTGGGACTGTAACTCGGGTTCTCTGCCCCGTCCCTGTGAACCACCCCCAGTTTATCACCCCAAAGGAGGGATAACAGATAAACCTCAAGGTCTCCTGGAATTACTCAGTCTGAAAAACCCAGGGTCTCTCCCCTCCTCACAAAAATCTCACAGCCACCTCCCCAGAGCCAGAAGTTTCGAACCAACCAGCTCTGAGGGACACCGACACTGTCTCCTGCAACTCATCTGCCACAATGTGAAATGGAGAACACACAAACCTCAGAGAGGACGTGGAGCCTCCAGTTTGCAGGTCGGTGCAGCGAGGAGCCCACGGGCAGCAGGACCTTCTCTCAGAGAGAACAGAACCTTCTGGAAGCCCCCAGAGCTGCCTTTGTGGAGTTAATTGATGAGGGTTAATTGGAGTCAGGTGTGTGGGCCAGGTGGATTCCATTCAGTTCATCAGGGCAGGTGCTGGGATGAAGGGCTGGGATGATCCAACTGCTCCTGTCCCTGTCTGGTGAATCCTGAGCCAAAGGCAGCCCCACACACAGTGGCTGCCACACCTGGGGTGGCCCCTTTGCACGTGGAGGGAATTCCTCTGTCAGTGATTGAGAAGCTTGAGAGAGAATTGCTGCCTGAGCACCACCTGATCTGGTGGAAACTGTCCCAGCCCGTGGCAGGGGATTGGAATGAGATGATCTTTAAGGTCCCTTCCAACCCAAATTGTTCCAAGATTCTCTGGTTCTCCAGCCACTGACTGGCTGGAGAGATCCCTGTTGTGTGTTGTAAGAAGTGGAGATTTATTACATTACAAAGAGAGAAAACCCACACATGTTTAAACAGCTCACCAAGGCTAAAGAGAGACAACCAATAAACTTTAGATGAGCTGCCAATAATTCCCAGAGATATGTGAAGCACATCTTGGGTCACTGAAATAACATCTCCTCCTTCCCCCCATATGCTTATGGTGACTTGGGAAAGGCAACTCTGGCAGCATTGGGGAATGTGGGACAGATGAGTTAACTGTGATGTATCCCAAAGGATCTGTACTTCATACTCATTAATACTCATTATATTTCCAATCCTTTAAATCTCCTGTTTGAGGTAACTGCATGTTTTGTAAGTCCAAAGACTGAACTTCCCCCTCCACACTCTGCAAACCCTCGAACCATCCCGTCACTCGACCTGCTGATATTTCTGTTTCCAGGGGAGAGCAGGAACACTGAAAAGAAAGAAAAAAAAAATAGAGTCTTTCCCAGCAAATTCTGATGTATAGGATGTGACATAATGGTGCAAAAACTTCTGGCAAAACCCAGGGATTTTAAATTGCTCTGCCTCGATTTTGCTGTGGTGGGAGGTTTAATGTGCTGCACTTTGCCTCCGACTCACACGGCAGAGCAGACACTCACCTCCAGCGTGGGACAGGCAGGGAGAAAACAAATTTCCAGGCAGAAATATATTGAGTTCAGAACACTGTTTATAGGTTACAGTAAACAGAAGTGTTTGATGTAATGGGGCTCTCTGGCTACCAGGGAACCTTGGCGGGGCCCCCGCGCCGGAGGGAGGTGGCGGTGATGAGGTGGCAGGTACACGCTGCAGGGAGGTGAGAGGGGACACAACTTGATTTCCCTTCTTACAGAACAATTTGCTGGGCTCCCTGCATTTCCCTGGGCCCTGTCAGGGCAGGAACAGTGCTCTGAGCCACGGGCAGGGCTGTCCCCCCGCGTGGGGCTCTGGGAGGTGATGGGGTTTGGGTCCCACATCAGCAGCCTTGGCTCCTTCAGCAGGGCCTGGCTGGCCACAGGGAGCTGTGGGCTGGGAAGAGGCAGTTTGAATGTGATGCCCTCTTACATCCCCCCCTTAAATAAAGCAGGGAATTTAGGGGGGCTGTTCCCCCACAAGGTGCTCCTCAGGAGGGGGCAGAAGGTTCTCTGTGAGAAATAACTTTGTTATATGACCATGGTGTCCTTAATGTGACCTCATTTGCTTTGTTCCCTGTGCCCTGGTGCAGGGCAGATGCTCCTGCCATGATTTCCATTTGAA